TCCTCGAACTCCCTTGAACTGGGCCCGGAACAGCATCTGAGGAGGGCAGTTTTTAAAAACGAAGGTGGCAGCCGCGGTGGGTGGGGCAAGGCTGGGGGCCCCTCGCTGGCGGCTTCCCGAGAGCCTGGCCAAGCATTCCTGGGCTTCCTGGCCCTCTCTCCCCAGGGTGAAAACGTGGGCCAGGGGACCTTCACCAGGATCTACCGGGGCTTCAAACAGGAGCCCCAGAAGGAGGCGGGGGACGCCGAGCTTGGGGAAGCTCCAGCCACTGAGGTGATCCTGAAAGTCCTGGACAGCGGCCACTGCCACCTGGCCGAGGTGAGGCACAGCAGGGCAGCCCGCTTGCTTTTAGGTTGTGGGCTACATTGCCCATGGGCCAAAGCTGAGAGTCGGGGTTCACGAAGTTATCAGGGGGCCTGCACGGTGGGCACCAGCATCCAGCTTCATTGCGGCACCCTGGACCCTCCCTCTTCAAAGCCCCGGGCAGGAGATCTGCCAACCCCACCTGGGCAGGGAGTGACAGGCGGCAGGCAAAGGAGGCGCTCTGTCCTAAAGACAAAGCAAGGTCCTGGTCCTCAGGAAGGGTAGCTGGGGCAGTTGCCTGATCCTGGGCTTCCAGCTCAGCTCAGCTCCAGGCTGGCATCATTTTCCCAGCCCCTGCCAGACGCCGGACCTTTGCTCTCCCCACGGGCCGAGCCCCCCTTCCCCCGGCCTCAAAAGGGGCTCCCCAGGAGTTGCTACCAGATATTAATTGGTGTACGACAGAACAAGAAAACGGCCAGCACGCTGGGCATCTTAATCCACTGGTGTTTGTTTCAGCTGTGTGCACCTCTTAATACATCAGAGGGAACCCACCGCGCAGTAGCGCCTGAAACGCGACCTTTGCGTGGCAGTGCTGGATGTGCCCAGCAGGTGGCGCTACTGCTACTGGCAAGGCCCGCGAGGTAGCCCTTTTCAGCCGGAGCGGGTGGGCTGCAGCTCGGCTTTTCAGTGCCTTGTCTCCCCCCCCCCGCAAAGTTGGGTGGGAGGAACAAATATTCCAGTCGATCTGACCGAATTTACTATTTACGTTGGACACATAGTACATTAATTAAACGCAGTTTATACGTTGGCTCCCCATCTAACCCTCACAATTTGAGGGCAACTCGGAAGCCAGCCCTGGGGTCTCTGCACGTGGCTCGGAAGG